TTCTCCTGGGACATCAAGTTTCAGAACTAGCTGAATCCCAGGTAGAGCCTTCTTCTTCGCAGCTCAAGTCCAGCCCGAGCCCTCAAGTTCCAACACTTGTGTTATACAGTATGAAGGTTTGCAGTGTATGGCAAAGGTAAGTTCTATGACAGAACTGTGTGATGTGGTAACAGAACGGTTCCCCGAAAGTGGGAATGTTACACTGATCTGTGAAGGAACAGTCTTAGATGACAGTGTATGTTTTGAGCTGTTGGGTCATCGTCCTCATATTGAGGTGAGGCGCTGTCAGTAGTAGGGAGGTCAAAACAGAACAGTTTTTCCAGATTGGGATTCACCGCCATTGGTATGGTGTTGAGTGTGAACCATAATTGTATTTTATGTGATTTTTATTAATTGTTTGCTTCACGCTCTCACATGTTAAGTGTACAAATATATTCAGTAGTTGCCACCGAAATTAAGAGTGGTGTCATGACTATTGTATAAAATGTATATTGTAGTTAAACTTTGTTATATAATAGTAAATATATTCTTATATAGAGGCCCTATATAGGTGGGATTTTTGACAAGAGTCATATCATTAATGGTCATGTACATCCTTCCCAGTTTTGGGATTATAGACATATAGTATTTAGTCGGTTGAACATTATGTACATGTATAGCGGTATACATATTAGTTAGTTTCATTTGGAAATTCAGAGCGGTATTAATTAACTTGTCATTAGGACTTTGAAATTGTTTTATTAAGTGCAGTTATATTTTGAAGTATGTTTTCGTCAGTTCAGGTCTGAACAGTTGCTACATGTACATGCATGCTAAAGTTTCAGAGAGTCAGGGATTTTAGACGTGTTAAGCACGCAGTTTATCGTCTTGTTGTGAAACCTGTTTCCAGGACATTATAAGTTGGAATAGCATATGGCTATGGTCGACGTGGAGTTCGGCTGTTAATTGTGCCGAAGAACCTGTTTAGGTTAGAACCCTGTGACAACTCTGGTGTGTAAATTGTTGGGGGTTTGATTCTCAATAGATAGATAGCTGCTCAGAGCTGAATTGTCATTTGTATGCTTATGTTTACATGGGTAATTATATTTTTTTCTCCTTAGGGAAAGATTATGTTCAATTTTCCCCATATCCAGGATTTATGGGGGTGGATATATTAGATACCTTGTGTCATGGTTGAGTTAATAAAAGACGCTGCCAGTCTTCCACTGGGGAGTTTGAGATTTTACAGTCGTTCTTTGTCGGAACTGTAGTTCCTCCTTTTTAAGGTGGAGGGTTGTGTAATTGCCCTGTAGTACAAGGGGATTTACCCAGCCTGTCATGAGGTTACTGGTACAGCACCGAGGGACACATGACACAAGGGTCACAGTTGGTACTCTTAGCCTCTACTTCAAGTGCATTCCTCTCTTACTGCAGAACGAGCAAGGCAAGGAGCCATAGATTTAGGATCTGACGAGATTAGCAGGGATTGACACCTAGTAGGAAATTAAAGGCACATTTACACCAAGCTTAGCTTGTATAAACCCTTATGGTAACCGTGGAGCCCAGCGAGACAGGCCAAGTAACACTTTAACATTAATAACACTCATATGTGCAGCTCCCTACAAAAACAACCTAACAACCCTCAAATTCATTAGACTTATCATAACCATTTACTATTAGATATTTGTATAAGAAGAACTACATTATTTAACTAAAAACAAATGCGTTTTGAAGTGTCAACCAAAATAAAGCACCACATCCTGTATTTGTTTTCCTGTTGGGGGATGAATAGGTGCATGGGAGTGAAACATAGGCTCTGCCTTAGTTTTATCTGGGACTACTGTTGGTTCAAGGCTTTATGCAGAAGAAATTGGAAAAACCAATTGTAAAAAAAGATAAAAAAAAAACAAGTGAAGAAAAAAAACTTATTGCATTCATTTTATTTAGATCAATTTGAAGTGTATATAAATCCATCATAATTTGAAAGTGAAATTAGTGTTAGAATTAACCAGACAGTCATCCTTAAAATTTCCTTTACTTTTTCAAAGCAAATGGGATTTTCATAACACGTTAAAGCTATTTTCAGTATATACTGTTCTTCTAAGTAGCAAATTTTATTTTCATTAAGATGTTTTGCTCTCAAATGTTATAAACTTAATCAATATGTAAAAACATTTGACTTTTCAGTTGGAATGAAATTCATATAGATGACTTTCTTGAACTGTTTCATATCATCTGGGATTTTCATAAAACTTGACCGCTATCTGTATTTATACTGTTCTTACAAATGGCAAAATTTGTTTTTTCATGTACATTTATAACTGTCATATTTCATGCTTTAAAAAAGGTGAAAATTTCAGTGGGAAATAATTTCAGATACCAATAGTCAACTTTCAGAACATATATATCTTTTTAAAATGATTTGAGATTTTCATAAAAAGTATGCCATTGTGTCATTTATATACTGTTCTCACAATACGCCCAATTTCAATTCATTTGGAGATCTACTGTGTTAAAAATATGCAAATTCTAAAATTGTTTTCAGTAAATCATGATTGTCAATGATAGAAATTATCATTTTCTTTTCAAATTATTGTCATAGACCTTTACAATTATACTCGATACACACTATTCGTATATACATTTGTACTACATTTACATCAGATTTGATAATTAAAATACACATGGACTTAAACTACTCTTGATAAGAAACAAATATTGTTACAAAAAATTGTTGAAATAGTTATTGTCCCAGTCCCATATGGACATGAGGAATACAAACGAGGTTGAGTCCATCGATCCCCCATTAACTGCATGAGTTTTCCTCGTTAAAAAAGCTACTGCCCCGCCGCTATTCTTAGTAAAAAAATATTTTGCCCCGTCAAATATATACCGCAAAAAAGTATTTGCCCCGCCCCATCCCTCAGATAAATATTGAACGGTCCCTAATAAAAACAATAGTCAATGTCCAATGCACATAAGTTGAAAAAAATCATGGTCCCAAGTGTATGTCCCATGCTAATTTGCGCCGGTCCCATGCCTTGATAAATTTTGACCGGTCCCTTATATAATATATAACTGACAAAGACGTGTAAAACATACTGTCATGAATTACCCGCCAAATTCTCATTAACAGAAAAGACATAATTCAAACGTTTAGACAATCATGGGGCCCGTCAATTTTAGGTTAAATGATTTGGCAGAAAATAACGTATGAATAGGGTATATTATTCGGGTGGGTGGACTGCAAAAACCAATTTTTAATTACAAAATGCCAGAAATTTTATAGAAAAGTAGCACCAATGAGTTATCTCAACAATAAATACGCTTTTATGTAAGATAAAGGATAGTTCATCTCAATGAAAGGAATACTTTTCTACGATAACCACACATAACTAGTGCCAAACTATGTTAATGTAACTGAAAAGAAAGATTTCATGACACGAAATCACTGCGCCTATATATTTTATAATTTAGTGAAATACACAGTTTTTGAAAACCAACAAAAGGTTATTGAACAGGAACATGTCGGATATTCTTGTAGTAGGATATTCATAAAGTTGTGGTGTTATGATTTTCGAAGTCATTTATTGCAAGTTTATGCCATTGGTAAACGCCATGTTCAAGAAGAAATCAAGGTTCTCCAGATTCATAAAAATTTGGAGAGGAGCATATTTTGTTGCATATATGCCGCACAATAAATTCATCCATGTGGTCTTGTCATGGTACACATCAGTAACAACCCTTCACTTCCAGTCACGTTTTATTTTGAAAAATATTAACGATTCTAATTTTGACTGCACTGGATATGTAAAAGAAAGGCGATTTTTTTTAAATTTGACACTTAATGTCTCGGTCGTGAAGTACACGGTCAAAACATTCCAAAATCCAAACCCTAGTACAGACGTTGAAGAGCAGACATGATCAAGAAGGATCAAAATTATTGACTAACCCGGACACCTATATAAGAGCCAAATAAATCTAAACTTTCAAATATTTTTCTTAGTGATAAATCATCAAATTTTAATGGTATATCTGTATTTTCATGCCGTTTATACTTGCTTCTAGGCTGTTGATGCATGAACTCAGTTATACCTGTTATGTATGTACGCCTTACATGATTGCAATAAAATTCATTTAATGTATCGACAATACATATTTTATACGTTACTGCTGATATGAAAATAACCCCTTATTTTAATTGCAATAGCTTGTTTAATGGTGTCTGCAAAGTATGATATAGCACAGTGTGAATAAAACCTTTAAAAACCAGGGAAGTGGCAACATTCAAGTGTTAGGAAGATTTATGAAATACAATTGCATAATATGTAATTATATGCAGCTATTTTATATACTTCCATTACTATTCAAACTATGCACTTCATAAAACATAATTATAAGGAAAAGTAGTTTACTCGTAAATTTATTAAAATTATATTGATCAAATCTAAAAAAAATCGAAAGAGAGGACAAGTTATTAAGCATCTTCAGGTATGCGTACATCAGCTGCAATGCAAATGCACGCTTGTCGGATGTCACAAGTGAGCAAAGGACACTCCTTGTTAATGTATAGAAACAAATAATTGTTATCCACGATACTGAATTGTAAACCTCCAAAATTAATACTGTCATATTCTTTCATACTTTTTTGTTGTTGCTGAAAATTATAATCAACATCTACATCTGCTTTGATTCTGAAACCATTAATGACCAGTTTGACAGGTAGGCTGTATTTTTCTTTTCTTTATTTTACTAATTTGATATTGCCTGTTTCACTCTTTGAACACTCTAAGATCTAAGTTAGCCTACATGTGAAAATCCACAAAGGCAATATATTAATTTGTATTTTACGACATAGATCAGAACAAATTCAAAAGTAATTTGGTGACAGAGAAAATACAAATATATATATGTAAATTACTAAATTTAACTCGATCAAATATATGCTTCTTTCGAAATTATTTCATAATAATTTTGCTCATAAACAAATGTGCAAAGGTTTGAAATATAGTGTTACTTACCATGTTCAACAATAGTTTTCGTTTCTTTTGCATCTAAAAAATTAATGTGCTTGCAGTATACATATCTTTTTTCTGTTTGTAATTATGATTTAAATTTGAGGATGTGAACGCATTCAAATGACCCAAGAAAAAGAAAATAATGTGTCCATGTGAACATAAAATAACCTTATCATAGGCTTTGATTAAATCTTATATCAAACTTGGAATAATCTCTATAGTCTAGCCAAGTTTTTGTTTCACTACGGGGGAAGTTCTGAATAATTCTATAGCCGTTTCATTTTATTTTGAATGTACAGCCGAAGATGAAGAAATAGATCTCTCTTCACCCGAAAACATAAATATAGTGGTTTATTCGTAATTCATTTAAATATATTGATCACGGAGCAAGACAGGAAAGGTTGACAGAATAAGCGTCTCCGGCTACGCATGCATTAATCGCAAAGCAAATATACACTTTGTCTGATATCAACGAATCTGAATTGTAAACCTCCGAATACTGTCCTTTTCTTTCATCTTTTATTTTTTTCTTGCTGAAAAGTATTTTAACGCAGATTTACAGTCAAAGATCAAGAAATGGATCTCTCTCCACACTACTTGATACTTAAATTACACGACTATCTTCACAAACAATACATACAATTTGATGGTTATACTAACATCAATGAACAATTTTCCATTAACAATTTTACTGGTTCATGATGTTCTGTTTTATAAGCAATCCAAACAGGGCTTCAACATCTCTTAAAAAGAGTATATTCTCTTTGGGCGGCGTGAATCATATATGCAAATTAAAAGTCCCCGGGATCTGTGAGAGTACATATAATTCAAGAACCTCTCATGATGTAATAACATATTAAATTATTTACGTCTGTTCCACCCCAGTTTGTTTTGTTTTTAAAGTGATGCTCTATCTTTAGGTTTCTGCTTAGTGTATTCTTGATGCGTGTTTCTTTTTCGTCGGCTTTCGTTTGGTTATGGTGTTGTGTGTATGTTTCTACTATTACCACGTTCTCATTGGTAATATCTACATATTCTATCATTGTTATTGTTTTAATATTTCAAATAATTTCTGCGATACATGATTTAGTTTACAAAATTATGTACATTCGGCATTATGTTAAACTTTTAAATGCGTTTGCTTCCAAATACATTTATAACGTGATGTTCTAATTTGATGATTATGATTACCTTCCTTGTTCAAACACAAAACAGCAATTATAAATCCACATATCGGTACCAAAACACATAACACATAATACTGGTCTAAAATTTTCAAATACAGATATATTAATATTATTTTAGATAATAAACATGTTATAGTAACAATAACTTGATTAGCATTTGCACGAGACAGCTTGAACTTAAAATCCAAATGATAACACTATGTTTGGTTTTCTTTTTACTCATGGAGTGTTCTTTATTTCATGTTCAATTGAAAGCCCTAAAAAAAACCAGAATAAATATAAAGTAAAAACTATGAATATATAAATCTATGATAAATTAATTAATCTATTAATTGCTGCTTTAACCAAGATATTTTTCAGAGGACCTCTAAAGTAGTTGGAATCTTGTTACATCCGGATCTCAATTATTAACGAATTTAAAAATCAATACGAGACTTCGATATTTGGTATCATAAAACAAAATTAGAATAATTACATTACATGTATGTTTCACGAGAATCCATTAGTTTCATTGGCTAACAACAATTGCGCGTCACTCAAAAATTAAAAATTAACCTTCATATCAAAATGAAATGTTACATTCGTGATGACACGTGCTTCCACAAAAAAGTGCACAGGAAAATAAAAGAAAAACTTGATAAAACTTTTTATTCGTGGTCTTAACATAAAGATGTAATTATAAGAAATGAATGTTTCTTTTAGTAATTTGATAGGGTTGTAAAAGTGTTGATCGTGCACACATTTTTAGAATGAAGCACTTCCGCGCTTCCAACAAAATGTGTTTCGGTCAACACTTTTACATCCCAATAAAATTACAAAAAGAAGCATTCATTTCTTAGGTAAACGTTAACACATTGGTTGAAGAGATATATTATATGACAAAAATTGTGCAACTTTTCAGTGTTCAAACTAACAATATACGCTATGACCTTGAGCTCTGATATATTGACCTTAAAGGTAATAGGCAATTCTCTTCCGTTTGACCGTTTTCAAGTCTAGTTTGGTAAGCATGGTTCAAAATAGTTTGTCAGAAAACTGAAATATTAATGAATGGACGTCTGAACCGCATTTTCATATCATATTATACAATGTCAGCGCACACACACACATTCTAATATGCAACACTTAAGCGTATCAATGTATACAATGAATGTCAACTGACATGTCCAAACAGAAATATGTTCCTGAATTTAAGACAAATTGCACGCCACAAAAAAACTACGGCATAGTATAATTGAATTGAAAAAAGTAAAATAACAAAAATACCGAACTCCAAGGAAAACTCAAAATGGAAAGTCCTTTATCAAATGGCAAAAGCTCAAATACATCAAACGAATAGAAAACAACCGTCATATTCCTGACTTGCTACAGGCATTTCCTTATGTAGAAAATAGTGGATTAAACCTGGTTGTATAACTAGCTGAACATCTCACTTGTATGACAGTCATATAGAATTCCATTATATTAACAACAATGTGTGAGCAAAACAAATAGACATAATAGGTAAAAATGTAACAAATTGGTGTACAGCAGTCAACATTGGGTTATAATCTTAATCACTATAAAAACAAATAACTCTTTCAACAAAGAAAAAAATAAATAGCATAAAGACACTCTATAGACAAAGTACATAAGCAAAAAAGAAAGACAAGAATGCAAAAATAACCATAGCACAATAACACAATTGCGGGATGTATAAATACCTAGTCACGGCAAAGGTTTATTACCAAGAATTGACTAAACAGTAAAGGTTAAAAATATAAAAAGACAAATAAGAAGAGCATTGTAACACGTAATTAGAATGATTAACAACGTCAGTACCTACAATCTAAACTTCTAACTTTGTTATTTGTGAAGTTGATACAGATTATTTATCAACAAGGTATTGATACCTCCAAATGATTTTTTTTTAGAAAAAGGACGAGACGTTCTTTGACATTACCCTGGTTCGTCAACTTTCTGCTTACACACTGGTGACGTTTTATAAAGTCTGGGTAGAAGCTGCAAGCTCTTGAATACCGCATGAGTTGGGAAATGTATATCTCATATGCAAGTGAAGTTGGTATATTGCTGCTAAGGTGGGGCGAATTTATAATTTCAAAATTAAAATCGTCTCGTTAGTCATACATTCTGATACTGAGATGACTACTTATGTCAAACTCGACGTATAAGTCTAACTAGAGGCTCTAAAGAGCCTGTGTCGCTCACCTTGGTCTATGTGCATATTAAACAAAGGACACAGATGGATTCATGACAAAATTGTGTTTTGGTGATGGTGATGTGTTTGTATACCCTGTATACCAACATTCCCCATGTGAAATTATAAAATTGTTTTGAATAGACATTGAATGACAAACTTTTTTCTTATGTGACGTTTACATTTTCTGACGTCAGACACGCGAAGCAATGAATGTGGGTCTTAATTTGATAGATGCTTTTGTGCTTTTTTTGTAAATAATTGTTTGTTTTGATATTGTAACACAGTGATGACTGCTGTACCCATATTTGACTATTTTATTTATAATGTCTGTTTTGTTCACGCATCGTTGTAAATATAACGAAATTTGATAAGACTGTCGTACAAGTGAGAGGTTTAGCGCTATAAAACCAGGTTCAATCCACCATTTTCTACATTTGAAAATGCCTGTACCAAGTCAGGAATATGACAGTTGTTGTCCATTCGTTTGATGTGTTTTGTCATTTGATTTTGCCATGTGATTAGGGACTTTCCGATTGAATTTTCCTCGGAGTTCAGTATTTTTGTGATTTTACTTTTTTTGTAGATCTTACTTTACTGAACATTCTTGCTCCTCACTATTATCTCTATCTATAATGAACTTGGCCCGGTAGTTACAGTGGAAAATACTTTGTAAAAATTTACAAAAATTTACAAAATTTATGAAAATTGTAAAACATTGACTATAAAGGGCAATAACTCCTTAAGGGGTCAATTGACAATTTTGGTCATGTTGCCTTATTTGTAGATCTATCTTTGCTGTACATAATTGCTGTTTACAGTTAATCTCTAACTATAATAATATTCAAGATAATAACCAAAAGCTGCAAAATTTTCTTAAAATTACCAATTCAGGGGCAGCAACTCAACAACGTGTTGCCTGATTGGTCTGAAAATTTCAGGGCAGATAGATCTTGACCTATTGAACAATTTTATACTCACCAGATTTGCTCTAAATGCTTTGGTTTCAGAGATATGAGCCAAAAACTGCATTTTACCCTATGTACTATTTTTTATCCATGTCGGCCATCTTGGTTCGCGGGCGGGGTCATCGGACACATTTTTTAAACTAGATACCCTAATGATGATTGTGGACAAGTTTGGTTAAATTTGTCTTAGTAGTTTCAGAGGAGAAGATTTTTGTAAAAGATTACAAAAATTTACAAAAAAATTGTTAAAAATTGACTATAAAGGGCAATAACTCCTTAAGGGGTCAACTGACCATTTTGGTCAAGTTGACTTATTTGTAGATCTTACTTTGTTTAACATTATTGCTGTTTACAGTTTATCTCTATCTATAATAATATTCAAGATAATAACCAAAAACGGCAAAATTTCCTTAAAATTACCAATTCAGGGGCAGCAACCCAACAACGGGTTGCCTGATTGGTCTGAAAATTTCAGGGCAGATAGATCTTGACCTATTGAACAATTTTATACTCATCAGATTTGCTCTAAATGCTTTGGTTTCAGAGATATGAGCCAAAAACTGCATTTTACCCATTGTACTATTTTTTATCCATGTCGGCCATCTTGGTTCGCGGGCGGGGTCATCGGACACATTTTTTAAACTAGATACCCTAATGATGATTGTGGACAAGTTTGGTTAAATTTGTCTTAGTAGTTTCAGAGGAGAAGATTTTTGTAAAAGATTACAAAAATTTACCAAAAAATTGTTGAAAATTGACTATAAAGGGCAATAACTCCTTAAGGGGTCAACTGACCATTTTGGTCAAGTTGACTTATTTGTAGATCTTACTTTGTTTAACATTATTGCTGTTTACAGTTTATCTCTATCTATAATAATATTCAAGATAATAACCAAAAACGGCAAAATTTCCTTAAAATTACCAATTCAGGGGCAGCAACCCAACAACGGGTTGCCTGATTGGTCTGAAAATTTCAGGGCAGATAGATCTTGACCTATTGAACAATTTTATACTCATCAGATTTGCTCTAAATGCTTTGGTTTCAGAGATATGAGCCAAAAACTGCATTTTACCCATTGTACTATTTTTTATCCATGTCGGCCATCTTGGTTCGCGGGCGGGGTCATCGGACACATTTTTTAAACTAGATACCCTAATGATGATTGTGGACAAGTTTGGTTAAATTTGTCTTAGTAGTTTTAGAGGAGAAGATTTTTGTAAAAGATTACAAAAATTTACCAAAAAATTGTTGAAAATTGACTATAAAGGGCAATAACTCCTTAAGGGGTCAACTGACCATTTTGGTCAAGTTGACTTATTTGTAGATCTTACTTTGCTGAACATTATTGCTGTTTACAGTTTATCTCTATCTATAATAATATTCAAGATAATAACCAAAAACGGCAAAATTTCCTTAAAATTACCAATTCAGGGGCAGCAACCCAACAACGGGTTGCCTGATTGGTCTGAAAATTTCAGGGCAGATAGATCTTGACCTATTGAACAATTTTATACTCATCAGATTTGCTCTAAATGCTTTGGTTTCAGAGATATGAGCCAAAAACTGCATTTTACCCATTGTACTATTTTTTATCCATGTCGGCCATCTTGGTTCGCGGGCGGGGTCATCGGACACATTTTTTAAACTAGATACCCTAATGATGATTGTGGACAAGTTTGGTTAAATTTGTCTTAGTAGTTTTAGAGGAGAAGATTTTTGTAAAAGATTACAAAAATTTACCAAAAAATTGTTGAAAATTGACTATAAAGGGCAATAACTCCTTAAGGGGTCAACTGACCATTTTGGTCAAGTTGACTTATTTGTAGATCTTACTTTGCTGAACATTATTGCTGTTTACAGTTTATCTCTATCTATAATAATATTCAAGATAATAACCAAAAACGGCAAAATTTCCTTAAAATTACCAATTCAGGGGCAGCAACCCAACAACGGGTTGCCTGATTGGTCTGAAAATTTCAGGGCAGATAGATCTTGACCTATTGAACAATTTTATACTCATCAGATTTGCTCTAAATGCTTTGGTTTCAGAGATATGAGCCAAAAACTGCATTTTACCCTATGTACTATTTTTTATCCATGTCGGCCATCTTGGTTCGCGGGCGGGGTCATCGGACATATTTTTTAAACTATATACCCTAATGATGATTGTGGACAAGTTTTGTTAAATTTGTCTTAGCAGTTTCAGAGGAGAAGATTTTTGTAAAAAATTACAAAAATGTACGAAAAATGGTCAAAATTTGACTATAAAGGGCAATAACTCCTTAAGAGGTCAACTGACCATTTTGATCAAGTGGACTTATTTGTAGATCTTACTTTGCTGAACATTATTGATGTTTACAGTTTATCTCTATCTATAATAATATTCAAGATAATAACCAAAAACGGCAAAATTTCCTTAAAATTACCAATTCAGGGGCAGCAACCCAACAATGGGTTGTCAGACTCATCTGAAAATTTCAGGGCAGATAGATCTTGACCTGATAAACAATTTTAACCCATGTCAGATTTGCTCTAAATGCTTTGGTTTCAGAGATATAAGCCAAAATCTACATTTTATCCCTATGTTCTATTTTTAGCCATGGCGGCCATCTTGGTTGGTTGGCCGGGTCACCGGACACATTATTTAAACTAAATACCCCAATGATGATTTTAGCTAAGTTTGGTCAAATTTGGCCCAGTAGTTTCAGAGGAGAAGATTTTAGTAAAAGTTAACGACGACGGACGACGACGGACGACGGACGCCAAGTGATAAGAAAAGCTCACTTGGCCCTTTGGGCCAGGTGAGCTAAAAATGGAGCGCAGGAAGCCGTGTCTGTTGTTTCTTTTATTTCTAGTTCTGGAGGATATATTAATGGAACTCAATCAGAAAAGTTTGGATTGTTAATGGAAAGAACATCATCAATATATCTGAATATTATACTAATTTGATTCGTTTAGAAAGAGTCACATGTTCAACTATATTTTTAAAGGAAGACTGAAAACAGCAGATAGAAAAGTGATATTGCACGGTTATTTTTAGAAAAGTGATATTGAATGGTTATTTTTAGAATATCTGATACAATCGACCAACCAAATGAGGTCGATACGAGGATATATCGACTTAAAGCTGTGTATCGATCTCGGACTTCGTCCTCAGTCAATATACTTCTTTCAGCTCATACAAAAGCTATAATTGTATGATGTGAAATTAAATGATCTGGCTTCTTTGATCTTTTTGTTTTTGATAAGTGTCTGAAGGAAAGGTCGGCAAGGAGAGGCACGCAGTTCGTTTCCATAGAAATGACGACAATTTGTTGAAAAGGTCTACGAATATGTTGTCAATAAGAAACTCCAGCATACTGATGATTTGTTCCTCTGTGTTTTACCTTTTTGTTCACTATTTACAAAATATGCCGTAGTTTATCCCAAAGCAATGAATTTATAGCGTTTGCTATCATTTTTATCTTGAAATGCATTCTGGATTATTTCTTTTAGACGATATTTCAATTTCACATGGGGAATGGTGGTATACAGGGTTGAAAAATCAAACGTTTTGAAGAATTAATATCAGAGAAAGACCGAGATTTGAAATCATCCAGAAGTTCTTTGGAATCCACAAATCGGTAATACCACTACGGGAGTAAACATTTCACAGTATTTCGGAAGACCCTATTTCACTTCGGATAGAAGTTTTGTCAATCTAATGGAAAATTCCTCTGTAGAACATGAAGATGAGCCGGCAATGTACCATTTGTTGTACGGAATTTTGTGAAGCTTAACCTTTTTCTAAATCATGCAAAGGCAAATCAAAGACCATTCATAGATTTCAGATTATCAATTTTACAGAAAAAACATTTTTTTCCACAATCACTTTGGATCTAGAAGTATTTTAACTTTAACCTTATGAATGCTCAATAACATGCTTTGTTAATCCTCGGAAAAAAAATCTATTTTCAAGGAATCACTTTATAAACATCAAGTATCATGAAAGTTTGCTGACCAAAATCAAATGGAAAGTATCATCATTTGTGAATTAATGAGTACACAAAGAACCAATCCTTATTGTTAGTCTTCCTTTCTAAAAAGTAGAATACATAAAGGTAACAGTAGTATACAGCTGTTCAATAGTCATAAATCGATTAAGCGAAAACAAATCCGGGTCACAAACGAAAACCGAGGGAAACACATCAACTATAAGAGAAAAACAACGGAACAACAGAAACACTGAACTGCAACAATAACAAACGCCAACATACAAAGAAACAGACTATTTGATAACAACTGCCATATTCCTGACTTGGTACAGGACGTTTTAAGAAAAAATGGTGGGTTGAACCTGGTTTTATGGCTAGCCAAACCTCCCGCGTATGTGGCAATGTTACAAATACCGCTCAAATGACAACATTAAGTGACAGGAATACAGTACAAATAAACGCAAGAACACTCAGGACAGAGAAATACATAAATAAATAATATAATAGTACATTAAAATATGTAAACCACAGAATAACAACGGACACCTCGCAGGAATTTACGACAGTACACCAGGAAACCACAATAGAATTATAAACTGTGCGTCACACGAATGTATCAACACCACAAAAAGTGACGTATTTTTTGTGACGTTTATTTTATCACATGCATCTTAATGATGAATATTTTATGTAAACGAAAAGGGGAAGTTTGAACAAGGGGTAAGCGATCAAAATTTTAATTAAAAGCTCTTAAGATACACATAATACGTACTTTCACAGTTGATGGTCGATTCCGGGATGCACCATACAATAATCAAAATTAAAACTGTCAGCACACACAAAGACACACCTCTAAAAACTGCAATACAATTTATATAATATCCTCATAATGTTAGTTTATAAGCAAAGATATATTGCGATGATACATTTCCAATTCAACTTCAAAAATAAGTAATACACATAAAGGAATAAAATAAAATCGTAAAAAAAGACACTGCTCAGACCCAATCATTCATTAACACTAGATTAAAAACACTTAATACCCACACAAACAAGAAAAACAACAAAGAAGAACACATGGTCCAATTAGTCTGACCTGGACTTTCTTATCAAGAAATTATGTCAAAAATTTCAAACATATAATGTCATACCTACCTTGTAGAGATTGCAACAGGACAACCGATAGCTTGGACAATAACATCAAACACGGTACGTTATACGGTTGAAAGCAGGGGGAAAAGGTCGTTACTACAGGATCTTCTTTATCTAATTACAGCTATTACATTTTGTGAAGTTGGATACTACCACTAAGGGACAACAAACCAAAATCAGAAGAAACACTCCTCTTAGGTTTTATGAAGTATCATAAGTTTATAGGAAATCGACATATATCAAGGTAAATTTATAATTTAAAGATAGCAATTTCGTAATTATCATGACATAACTTATAATCAGTCTTATCGCCAACAAACAGAGGTTGATGATAACAATAAATGGATGTGATATGATTGAGATAAATTAGAATTACAAAGCTGAAAAGACCCAAATGTAGCTGTGCACCTGTCCTTCCTCCATGACAGATATGATTTTGTCCCCGCAGATAAAGCCCGAAACAACATCGTTTCTGTGTGTAAATCACATCATATAAACTGCTTGATAAAGGATTATGTATTGACAATTCGCTTGGCAACTCAACATATACCCTCTTGACACTTACCAAGGACAAATCCTGAATAATAAATAGTTCTGTTCTATGCTCCTTGGAATTTCAAATAAAGATGAAGAACTGTATCTTCCATCACTGACATTGGATACCTAAATTACATAAGTGTCCATACAAACAACGTTATAATTCAAGTGCTCCAAGAAACCTCTATCTTAAATATTAACATCAATTGTATCAGCAAAGCCTGGCTTCAAAGTTATTGTGAAACTACCTACTCTAGGAGCGGCTTCAAACAGATATGGATACTAGAAATTCGAAAGATCTGTTGGAGTACATACAATCAAAGTCTCTTGCCTCCTTTGATGATATTGAAACATTTGATTTGTGTCATCAAAATGAATGGTCAAAGTTGTTACAAGTACCTTGTCGTAGGGAGGAATAAATCGAATTTATAAAATCACTCTTATTCAAACAAAAAATTCTCTGAAACTGACATTATCAAGATGCTTAATTTCTTGATTGAAAAAAAAATATTTGTTACGTTTGGAGGACGTGTTTTTCAACAACCAATCGGCATTCCCATGGGAATAACTGTGCTCCTCTTCTTCCCTACTGGTTACTTTATTCATATGAGACTGACTACATACAGGAGCTTCTATTGAAGAATGAAAAGAAACTAGCCTTGTCCTTTAACTTCACGTTCCGCTATATACATTTGTAGATGTCCTCTCAATTTATAATTCAAAGTTTGGTGACTCTGTTGAACGCATCTATCCCATCGAACTTGAAATAAAGGATACAACAGATGCCTCATATCTTGACTTGCATCTAGAAATTGAGAATGAGGTTCGGTTGAGGACAAAACTTTACGTCAAAAGAGATGATTTCATCTTCTCAATTTCCATTTCTATGTACCAAAATTCCATCAGCACCTTCATACGAAGTATATATCTCCCAGTTGATCAGCAGTAGTCTAAGTAGTCGAACTATTGGATCACTAGCCTAAAAACACTGAGATTGTGAGTTCGAATCTCGATCGTGGCAGGAACGCTCGACTCCAATGTCTTTTGACTTGGATTGTCAGTTTTCTCACCGAAGGTCAGTGGTTCTCTTAGGGCACTCGGTCGTCCTTCACCAATAAAACTCTGACAGCCATGAAATAGTACAATATTTCTGATAGTGACGTTAAACACCAATCAATCAATCATGTTTTACGAATAAGACTTTCCACCAGGTTTATACGTTCAGGAGCAACACGACGAATAACACATGTAGAGCAGGATCTGCTTACCCTTCCGGACAACCTGAGATCTCCCCCAGTTTAAGGTGGGATTCATGTTGCTCAGTCTTTAGTTTTCTATGTTTTGTTTTGTGTACTGTTGTTTGTCTTTTTATTTTTTTTAATTTTTTTTTGCCATGGCATTGTCAGTTATGACTTATCCGTTCTATCGCCAACAAACAGAGGTTTGCATGTTTCAATTATGTCGTACTCAGTTTTGCAATTCTTGTGCGACCGAACTAAAACTGCAATTTATTATTCATATTGTATATGACTTCTTTCCGTTGTTGCCGATGGCTATTATTATATGTTCTTCCTGGAGGGACCATTTGTCAAATAGCCATCATTTGTTGACTGTTAAGAATGTCATAAAGGCAGGTTTTCCGTATAATTTGTTTCCTTCATAGTTTGTGAACTCAAACAAAAGATGTTATAGTTATATTTTATGGTTAGATCTGCCCCGCTCGTGGCATATGCGATTAGACTCCGATCTTAAACCTACTTGAAATTGATCTCGTTTGCTTGCATGCAGTATATTAACAAAGACATCAAAGTCAATTTCTTTGACAAAAAATCTCTTTGAAACACATTATTGACTCATTAAAAATATGTTCTTTATCTGCTTTTCTAATGAAAGGGTATCCCAAATAATAACACATTAAATATAATTGTAATCTATAACAACAAATATGTTTTCATTTGAAAATGACGTACCGTTTCTTAAGTGAGGGTTATAATTTTCGCACAGTTGTTTGGTTCGAATGCTTATTCACGCGTTACCATACTGTTGTTACAATTTGATAGTTACCAAGCATTTGTAACATCCCGGACATGTAGTTCAATGACTTTTAAAAACATCCATAAGTAAGAGAGTTTAATGCACACGCCTTCGGAAATAATGTCATATTGATTACCATTAGCAGGCTTACTATTTGTTCCTTTTATTTGCCTAGTCGTACAACCGTCATGCAATGCAATTTTGGTTAAAACATGGTTAACAAATAAGCATTGGCATTCATTTTTATTACATGCAATCACAGTCAATGTCTTTTGTAATATCGTTTATCATTAAAGTAAATATGTTATGTAAATCTGACAGGATAATATTATTCCTGTTTGAATCAGTCATGGATTCGGTTGCATAATTTCGTAAAAAGACTATAAAATCATAGTTTGTTCATATATTGTACTGTTACAACACTGACACGGGTTAGGTGGAGAGATTGGCGCCCGCTTACATGTTTAACCCCGCCACATTCTGGTTATGCCTGTTGCAAGTCAAGAGCCTGTAATTCAGTGGTTGTCGTTTGTTGCTGAATATCATATTTGTATTTCATTCATATTTTTTTACATAAATCAGGCCGTTAATTTTCGTTGAACTGTTTTACATTTGTCATTTCGGGGCCTTTAATAGCTGACTATGCAGTATGAGTTTGTTGAAGGCCGTACGGTGATCTATAGTTATTAACTTCTATGTCATTTGGTCTCTGGTGGAGAGTTCTCTCATTGGCAATTATACCACATTTTCTTATTTTTATCTAAAAATCTTCTAGAAATGATAAACTGCTGTTAAAGTATAACATATCAAAGTGAATTAATACAAATGACATACCCTATCCCGTCATCATATCAAATTAAAACGTACATTATCAAAGAGCAATTATCTTATACAATATTGTTAACAACTTTTTTCCAAAAAATATCTTTTCTTTTTATATGAACATATACATGACTTTTGTCATACAACGATTTAATTCTAGAAATCGTGATTTCCATAACTTAGAGTACGAAAAGGTATATGCGAGGTATATACAACGATGATAGGATGAATGACTAAGTTGACACAATCTGCTGAGCTCGTGAGGTTTAAATTTTCGTTAGCATTATATCAACGTACAAGATGTAATCAATATCTGTTTTACAACTTCAATTGCGATCGTCATATCCCTAATTCACGATAGTAACTTTTTCAAAAACAATACTCTTTTCCTTTTAGAAATATTGAAAGAACGTCATCTTACCTGAAATTGGCCTCGGTTTCCTACATACATTATATTTACAACAACTCCAGTCAGAAATCATTTTCGATATACCTTTATAACAACGCCATTCAAAAATCTTTTTCAATACACCTGACAATATAATACTTAAAAATCATTGCAATATCATTAATACACTAGTAACGTGGAATTTATGAAAAATGTTGTTGTAATGTGTTGTAAGTTAAGAGTCTCTTACCTAACCTGCCATACTGTATCATTGTCTCTACTCAGACAGAAACAACTCCAAACTTGCCATTTTAAAGTAAGACGATTTGGTATTATTGCCAATAAGACAACTATTCAACAGAGTTCAATACGTGTTTCCTTCATATAAAAACGACAAGTGATTATCTGTTCTTTTTTTTTTTGACTTGTCATTATCTCGCACGATTTATATACTTCTCGTATTTCAAAGTTATTAAAAGAAATACTTGAATCATGACGATCGGGATACAATTGTTATTTTCTTCGTATCGTTTAAGTGCAATTACATACTTTCTGACAAAATAAAAAATTCTTAAATTCAAAAAAGTATTCAATCGCACGATACACTTTACCTCATTCCACCATTTATTACTCAATCTTAAACAAAACAAAATTGTTAGGAAGTTTCTACCATTTCATAACCCGATATTCAGTCGTAATAATCTGCTGCTCTACGGTGGTTACATTAATGCCTAAAGGCCTGGTCATTAAAACATCGTCAAACAATAATTCGGAATTCGTTCGGGATTTATCAATCTCGATGAAATAAGGCTATCAAATGATTGGATCTCCTCTTTTTCCCAGAGACCAACAATCTAAATCATGGATTCGAGACGCGTTTTTTATCGTAAAGAGAGTTCAGGCCCTCGCGAGTTGGAGAGTCGACCACGGGGAGGGACTGAATTATTCGGGTTAACTATTTTAGGACTGTTTGATTATTCAGAATCAAGTGTTTAGTAAGTACATGTATAAAAGTACAGCAATTACTGTGAAGAATACACTTTATTAATTGTATGCTTTGTAACCGTTCGGCAGATTGTTCATGTTGATGAGAAATGAAAATATAAGACATACACTTTGAAATTATAAACCTAAAGAATTAAAATAGGACATGGTTTTTCCCATAAAGACTGAGGATATGAGAGATTATATTATACTAATGGATGACCGTTATGCAATATCTGTGTGACAGATGACTACGAATATGTTCCAATTCTTGTAACCATAATTCCGTCCTCTATTTGGAATAAATCTTATCAACAAACAAGTACTGACTATGAGCACCACAACGGATGCCTAATGTGGAGCAGGGTCTGCCAATTTTCTGGAGTACCTTGGATCACTCCCGGTTTTTGGTGGGATTCGTCTTACTCAGTCTTTATATTCAGTTTTCTATGTTTTATAGTTTGTTCTTATGTTGTACAATTTTGACCAATGTCCATGGTTAGGGGGAGGGTTTGTAGCCAGCAAACATGATTAACACTGCCACATTCTGTATGTTTCTGTCTCAGGTCAGAAACCTGTAATTCAGTGGTTGTCGCTTGTTGCTGTACATCATACTTGTTTTTCGTTCATTAATTTGTACATAAATCAGGCCGTTAGTTTTCTCGTTTGAATTATTTAACATTTGTCATTTCCAGCCTTTTATAGCTGACCATGCGGTATGGGTTTTATTAATTGTTGAAGGCCGTACGGTGACCTATAATTGTTAACTACTGTGTTATTTGGTCTATGACATCTTCTTATTTTTATATTATGTAGACCATTGTTGTCATTTTGTTGTTTTCTATCATGGCATTGTCAGTTTTCCTACAAGTTATGCATTTTGAATGTTTTTTTTTTTATTTTCTGTCTCATTTTTGAATAAAGAAGGTCCGGTAAGGGCCAATTTTGGCCTAAAGTTTTAAGTTCATTTGATGAAAGAGTTTTTGACATTTTTTAAACACTTAAGTGTCTACTTCGTTCGATTCAATGAGTTTATGTGAAAGACTTGAACTGATTTAGTCATTAAAGACGCTCACATTCAAGCTTAGTTATGCAAAATCTATCAAATATGCCATAAAACGTCATTTTTCAGATGGTTTTTGTCTAAAATGTATGTGGCCGCATTCGTGTTAAGTCTCAACCTTTATATATGTTATGTATAATCACCAAATATAACACACATTTCAATATTATGACTGAACACAAATGCGGCCACTTCAATTTTAGACAAAAACCGTCTAAAATGCTAAAATTGTGAAGATTTCAGTAGTTTTGCATATTACCTGATGCATGTGCATTGTATTGTAAAAATAACAACCCATATTTATGTAACAAACGTATACTACTTTACAATAAAAATAGCTAAAAGTTACATTTGTTACAAATTTGTAAAACTGCTATATTTTAGGACCGAAAAGGGGTCTTACCGGGCCTACTTCTTTACATGAATCTTTATTAATATATACGGCCTCTATTAACAACATAACTGTACAATAAGGGTTGATATCACGTCTACAATAAGGTTTGTACAGGAGGATCTAAATTCCGTACCAATTGTTTTTATCTTTGAAAGAATAAATTAATAAAGGTTTTAAGGAATTTTTAATTATTTATTCTCTAACTTTATAAGTTACCTGTTCGTCATAGAGATAGTGTTCATTAAAATCTAAGACGTACAGACACGACTATAGTTAACGAATGTGAAATATACACAAAGTAAGAAGGAGGAAATGAACATCCGGGTGCGGGATTTTCTCGCTGTATTGAAGACCCATTGGTGGCCTTCTGCTGTTTTCTGCTCTTTGGTTGGGTTGTTGTCTCTTTGACACATTCCCCATTTCCATTCTCAATTTTATCACTGTATAAAACACGAAAATTACAAAGAGGAAACGACAACTCGTTTCTTTTATCGTAAAACTTGTTTTTGGTTATAGCAAAATGTATGTTATGTCAGTTCTCGAGTGGTAATTTCCACAGTATTATTATGCAGTTTAGAAAATTATATACGTATTTTTATTTTGATGCGGTCTATAATTATATCAAAAGTAAATACATATTTACGTGTAATGCTTCCTTTTGATTTTTGAGAGGGGTGCATTTCCGAACAAGTATGACTGTTCGTATACAGGTTTTGATTTAATATGCTTATTTAACTTAAATCTGTTTTTTAAGAAATGAATGTTGTAGAATTTATAAAATATGGTTTAATAAAACATTATTTTCTGAATAAGAAAATTTACAAAAAAACATATTAAGATGCTTGCAGATGAGAAATGGTATTAACTGTACATTCATCAGCTATATTCTTTAGTCTTCCAACCTCTATCCTACCCTTAAGACAACTATCCAGCTGATGCCAACGATGCAAATAAAAGAAACTATAAAACACCGTACAGCCTTCAACAATAAGCAAACCCATAACGCATAGTAAGCTATACACGACGTGTGTCATACGTTCAGCATTATCTTCTTACCTTTCTGTAGCACCTGAAATCACTCCCTGTTTTTATAGGGATCATGTTGCTCGATTGTTTTCGACTTATGAGTTAGAATATTCCTACGGTATCTTCCTCCTTTCTTCCATTCTTATTCATGTACAAACAGCCCAGTCTATTATACTATGTATCAGATTCCCGTATTACCCATTTTGGTTTTATTCATCCTTTTTACATCTCGCTCATAGTTAACTTAATGTTTCTTATTCAATTTCTTTTTGAGGAAGTGTGGTAAATGTCATGACCGAAAAGTCGAAATTTTTATGGCATGAACAATTAAAATTTATAAACAGCCTCAACGTCCATCATGTTCAATACACCTCAAAATTTCAAATGCACCGACGTTTCCTTTGTTTGAAAACCTCAAAACTTGCATATAAGTTTATATATATAAACTGCTCAGGTATCCCCACTGTCAGAATAACTATTTAAATAAAGGAAATTATTGACCTGTAAGTGTGTTCCCTTGTTTTTATCTAAATTTATGAAAAAGCTATACATGATCAATTAATAATTTTTAATACATTCTCTTCCTTTTCTTTCCCCATTAAAGTCTGGTTTCTGTTGCCAAACAGCACTTTATTTAAAGATAATAGAAGAATGGGAAAAGTTTCTTGAAGACAACAATTTAATTCGTGCAATTCCGATGGATCTAACTACAGATTAAAATTGGAGCAATATAGTCTGTCCAAATGTTCTCTAAAATTATAACAAAGTTATCTAGAATACAGGAACTAGGTATCAAATTTGACATTCTTACAGTGAACTTGATTAGATGTTTTAAGGTGTTCCAAAAGGGTCATGTCCAGTTTTTTTAAATTTCTTTATAAATGTCACATATTTTTTTTTTTCTACAGAAATCACAGTTTATAATTATGCTTATGATTACACTGTATCATCTAGTGATTATGACATAGGTTAGGTTTTCGACATATCTAAATTTAATCCTGACAAATTGCATGTTATAGCTACTAAACAAAACATTTAAACATAAAAAAAAACATATCAGTAAAGCCCGTCTAAATTGCATTTAATTGATAAATTCAACAACACTCACCGTTATCTTGATGATATTGTTTCGTTAAATAATCAAGATTTATCTATATATACTACCGAAGACTATCCAACGGAACTTACTTTAAATAAATCAAATATAAACGGTAATAGCTGTCCTTTCCTAGATGTAGATATTTCAGTTTTACACGGGAAACTCTACACTAAAATTTACGACAAAAGAGATGATTTTTCGTTCCCGATTGTTAATTTTCCTTTTTTTTACGGTGATGTTCCTTTTGAACCATCTTACGGTGTTTATATATCACAACTCGTTCGCTATATCCGTGTCTGTTGTGACGTTTTGGATTTCAATGAACGTAATCTTTGTATTACTGGTAAATTATTCATTCACGAATTACCACAAATTACTTAAAACCTTTACTGAATTACTTACGGCGATGTTGTTTATCAAGCCCGAAAATTTAGATACCATCTGGTTAAACTTTTCGATCCTTCGAATAAACTTATTCTAAAAGGTTTCCAATTCAACACTGCAATGAGTTCTTTGGATATTGTTTTTATTGGTATTAATATTAATTTTGTTATCAGTAAATTAAAATCAGACTAAATATTATTTTTATATACATATATAGATATAAGAAGATGTGGTATGAGTGCCAATGAGACAACTCTCCATCCAAGTCAAAATTTATAAAAGTAAACCATTATAGGTCACAGTACGGTCTTCAACACGGAGCCTTGGCTCACACCGAACAGTAAGCTATAAAGGGCCCCAAAAAATTACTAGTGTAAAACCATTCAAAGGGGAAACCACCGGTCTAATCTATATAAAAAACGAGAAACGAGAAACACTTATGAACCACATCAACAAACGACAACTACTGAACATCAGATTCCTGACTTAGGACAGGTGCAAACAAATGCAGCGGGTTTAAACGTTTTAATGGTACCAAACCTTCACCCTTTTTCTGAAACAATAGTGTAACATCACAACATAGAAAGACACACTATAAAATATCAACTGAAATAGCTTAACTCAATCAAAGGACATATTAACACCATTGAACATACACTGAACAAATAAATTTGACCTATGACACAATGTAAAAACAAAATAAATAAACTAAGGGAAGAATAATAAAAGTAACATGTTATATCGGTAAGAAATGTTAAACAATTAAAGAAAAACAATATGCTCGAACAAAAATACCATCCATTTGCAATAACTTTAAACACAGGTAAATGAAAATAATTTTGTTGTTATGTATACCTGTACAGTACCAATAGAGAAAGGAAATATTTTTACAAAATAAATAATTTTGAATACAAAATAAATAAAGTAAGGGAAGATTAATAAAAGTAACATGTTATATCGGTAACAAATGTTAAACAATTAAAGAAAAACAATATGCTTGAACAAAAATACCATCCATTTGCAATAACTTTAAACACAGGTAAATGAAAATAATTTTGTTGTTAGGTATACGTGTACAGTACCAATAGAGAAAGGAAATATTATTACAAAATAAATAATTTTGATGTTCATAGTACGAAGTGAAAATTTATAGTTATACCAAACACTTATCAAAGCTGGTATATAGACCAGATATAACCCTGAATAACATTAAATAACAAGAAAGCAATACAATTATTATCAACAGGTCAAATAAACAAGAAAGTACGATTTGAGAGTACTCGCAGTTACTGACAGCTAGTTAAAAGCCAAAACAATTAATAATAAAAAATCATGCATCAGAGACTAAAATCAACTAAAACACATCCCAGGGATTTAGTATTTTAACGTCATGGACAGTCAAAGAAGACATGACTAGTGCAATGCCAAAAATAAATGTATCGACAGACAGTAGAATAGTTAGGAGTTTAACCTCTTTATAGATCTAAACGAACGTGGGTGTGTCTTTATACATCCCACTTGAAAAAAAAAACAAATTTAGTTATGTTTTAATTTGCTGATGACAAAATCGATATTAGTGACAATGTAAACTATATTCAAAGATTTAATTACGACATTGGTAAGATAACCTTTACTAATAAGCCTGTTTAAAGGTTCGATGAGTTTACACGGATCACATAGTGATTTCCGCGCTTTAAGTACAATATTACCGTAAAATTTAGGATGTGAAATACCGTTTTTAATCAGTTTTCTACAAGTACAGCCAAATTTACTAATCAAATCTTTGTATCTATGAAAGAACTTAGCAAACGTTTTACGTAATTTATGGTAACGAAATCCTTGATTTAATAATTTACCAGTGATGCATTGATTACGTTCGTTAAAATCTATGACATCACTACACACACGGGCATAACGAACGAGTTATATATGCACATTCATGGCTCTACAATCTGTCGATACCTGTATCTTGTCATTGCACAAGGTCATGTTTTTTCTCTGACTGTTAATGACGTCTTTACACTAAATCTATTGAAGGCTTGATGTGTACTGATTGATATTTTAGTCTTAGATGTTTGATGTTTTTTATTGGTTGTTATTGGCTTTGAACTAGCTGTCAGTAACTGTGAGTACTCTCAGATTTGTACTTAGTGTCTTTTTGTTGGGAGGGGGGGGGGGGGGGGGGAGTTGTATGAGTACCCTGCCACGTCCACTCTGTTTTTGTTAGATTTATTTCTATTTGTATCCATCTGATTAGTTAAGCTTATTTCAACTTATTTTTATAGTGTGTTATAGTTTTGTTCTGTTGCACCCCAGGTAAGGGAAAGGGTTTGGCGCCATATAACTAGTTTAACCCCGCCACATTATGTATGTGCCTGTCGCTAGTCAGGAACCTGTAATTCAGTGGTTGTCGTTTGTTGCTGTATATCATACTTGTTTTTCGTTCATTATTTTGTACTTTTATGAGGCCGTTAGTTTTCTTGTTTGAATTGTTTTACATTTGTCATTTCGGGGCCTTTTATAGCTGACCATGCGGTATGGCTTTTGCTCATTGATGAAGGCCGTACGGTGACCTATAATTGTTCATTTCTGTGTTATTTGGTCTCTGTTAGAGAGTTGTCTCATTGGAAATCTTACCACATCTTCTTACTTTTATAATTTGATATTCAACTTAATCATGTACAAAAGTTCTTATGAAACATCTTAGAGTAGCAGCTATAGATTTGGACTTAAACTTTAAAAGTCATAGTTCTGAAATCAGAAATAGATATAAAAAAGCCTCGATACAAATTCAACAAAAGAAATATTTTCATCGATTATACGTTATGGATTCGTAATAACATTTCTTTTAATCGTGCATAAAACACTTTAGTTTAGTTAATATACATGCATTGGTTCAATAGTTTCCTAAACATTATATTTACTGACCCCATGTATAACTAATATCTTTAATTTTACAAATTAAGAGGTAAAATCAAGGAACTGTTTAACTTAAAGTTTCAATAAAATAATACATTAATACCTTCAACAATATAAACTTTGACTGGACACACAGACAGAAATGCTATCCAAAGTGTAATTACTACAATGTAGCCAGCTATGGACCAGAACTTCGCTCCACATTTTCGATCTAGAATAAATAATCAGATCCTCATCATCATGGTATTCTTTGAAATATATAACTAATTTAAGCATTTTAACTTATTGTTACGAAAAAAGGTATGGTTACAAAACTGCTGTCAGTTATATAAGTTTTCTATTGAATCATTGAAGACCTATCAAACCACCTATGAATCATTGAAACAGCCAGAGAATGTGCATTTCTATTGCTGAAACATGTGAAATACACGAAACTCATGAGAAGGCAACAATTACTATAAAACCTTAACTCTATAAATTTTTCACTAGTAATTATGTTACTATTTTACAAAGTTTCATAAGGATAATTATGATGATGGATGACTGTTTAACATCTAGCGGCAAGTGAATATGAACTATGCTGTGTACTTAAACGACGCGCTGAGCAATGTCACAATTTAAAACTTCACAAAAAGACATGTACATTTTGTAACTTAACACGAACACATAATTCTGATTTAAAGCCGACCAGCCTTTTTTCGTAATCATGAATGCTGCATGGTTAGTGGGGAAACCGAAAATACCAGTTTGTATACATGGTTCAAACACACATTTACTAAAGCTGGAAAATTAACGAACAAAACAAACAATAATATCTTGAACAGCAATCTTTCCTAGCAATTATAATGCATTTGATAAACAAGCCAACAGTGTTTCATTCTAATAATCAATTAATACCATATGGAGAATTTACCTCTGATCTTTAAATTATGACCAAAAAAGTATTTGTATAAATCTTTAAATTCATGATATACAGTAAAATCAAAAGAATTGTGCAAAAATACTGATAAAAAATACCAATTTGTGTAGTGTTTGGTTTGACTTGACCGAGGATCGATCCAACGACTTCTCACAGTTTAAGCCATCGCGATACCACAGGACCACTGATACGGATATATTTCATTATGAAGACAAAATAAAGATATAAGAACAACACATGAAGATAAAGATTGAGTGAACATTAAGAAACTTGTGCATAAGGGGAAAATCATATTCTTTCCGTTTTTAATTGTCCGGTTCAATGAGAAGAGTACATGAAGGAAGAAATGACAAAATTCATTTAAATATTTGACGCCTTGTTAAACGCAATGTTAACTCTCCAATAATCATGTATTAACAATCACGTTTGTAGACATTATCCTCCCTAAATGACATTGTTCATGACAATGCAATAGTATTGACAAGTCACAAGTTGAATGAAAGCGCTAGAGAATGTAGTAATTTACTGCAATATTTGTAACTTTTCTAGATGTTTAAATTTTATATATACTGCAACTGTGTTATTTGCGCAGTCAAACTGCATTGACCATATAATCATTTGTGATCTACAGTCACTGACCGTATATCGCCTTGTTTATGACGTTGACAATGCCTTTCCGTAGAGTTTTATTTATGACGTCATTAAAAGGTACAGGTTCGCGGAATTTTTACGTCGTTCACTCAAAATTAAAAAAACGATGGTTTTTGCCCTAAATATTTCATTTGGAACAGTTTTAGGAGTTGCAGTATATAAAGAATAACCAAACATTGTTGAAATATAAATTTTATTTGTACTCGGCTCAAAACAGGAAAATTGCACGGCAAAGCCTCGCTTTCTATCTGTTTCTAAGCCTTTTTACAAATAAGATTCATATTTCGAGACAATGTATGGTTATTCTATATTTACACATATACATATAGTATAGGTATATGTGTATATTACAACGATATAAATAAACTTCGTGAAATGTTTATTACCAAACAAGTTATCTAAAACAAGATATCAGGGAACGACCATTTAACTTTGAGTTGTAGGGTTATATTTCTTTTTTAATTCATTTTTAGGATTTGTTTCGTACCACTTAAAATTCAAATAAATTATATTTGTTATCGTTTTATGTTTCTTACTTTACATTTGAATTTATATTTCCTTCTCGCTGATCAAAACATTTATTTCTTCAAAGTTGATTGGTCGTTCCCTGTGTCACAGCAAGGTCAAGGTCAGCAAAAAGTCCATGAACACGGTAAGTTAAACAAAATGTGTTCAGCAAGATGCCACTTCACCGCTAGGCGTATTGTTATGCATTTGGATCTCTTTGAATTTGTCAAATTTGAAATTTCTTATTATTTTTCGTTAATAATTATTAAATATAGCTTAGGAATTAATTTATTTTACCAACTTTTTACAGAAACATTGCAAAACAGTATATGAACTTTATTGGAACTTTGATGCATAATTGAAAATGTTGTCAGGAAGTAATTACCCAAAGGATTAAAATATACTTTGATGAAAAAAAAATGACATGTAGAACGTTTTTATAGATACACTCACAATAAATTATATCTCAAAATAATGACTACCTGTAACGTACATTTAATGTTTGTCGTTTCTTTGAAATCGTCAAATAATATAAAACTAAATAATTATTTCCTTGATAGAGGGTTGCACCTTACAAGGAAGCTATAAAATCAAAAGTTCCAAGTAGTGAAGTTGAATTCATCCCGTCAAAATTCTATGAAAGTCATCACCAGATATTTAGCAGTTCTAGAATATCTGTGTCACAGCCGACGACGGATACGTTCCAAATGTCGTAACCAATATCTCGTCCTGTTTTTTCGTATGTGACCTACCAAACTAGACCTTACACTGGGTGAAGCAACACAACTGGTGTCGCATGTGGATTAAGATCTGCTAACCCTTCCGTAGCACCTGCGATCACCCCTTTTTGTGTTTAAAAAGGGTATTTGTGTTGTTCTTGCTTTTGTTTTAAATGTTGTCCTTTCAGTTTTTTAATTTTTCCGTGTCTGTGTTGTTTATACTGGTACCTGTCTTGTCATCTTTTGTTATGAATAAGATGTTCAATTCCAATTCTCACATTCGGTCAGGGTTGAAAGATAAACATGACCGATGGTTTAAAAATTGGTGATGTATTGTGGAAGATAAGAATCAGTAACCATTTGATATAACTTAGTATCATAATTCATAAGAGTAACACGTAGGGTGTCACTTGTAACGCAGGATATGCTAACCCATCCGAACCACCTGATATCACCCCTGGTTTTTTGGCGGGGTTCGTTTTGCTCAACCTTTATTTTTGTTTGTTGTGTTTCATAAAATGCTGTTGTCTTTTCTTCGTTTTTCATTTTTGGAATGGCATTTTCATTTTTTTTTTTCGACTTATGAGTTTGAATATCCCTGTGGTATCTTTCGCATCTCTTTATCACATATAAGCTATAACTAGAAATTATCAAACTGAATTCAATTACAAAAAAAAACCGATTTTAACGATACATTTTTGAAGAGAGAATCCTTAACATTATTGAAATTGTTTTGTCTAAATTGGTTTCATGGATAAATATTATTATCCTTACATCATATATGTTATGTTTAGGATTATATTTTTTGTTTAGGAAAGTTTTTGCAGATATTTTCATGTCAGATTGAGACATGTGGTTAGCTGGGATCCATTAGTAGTTTCTATGAGGGAAACTATCAGACCAATCTATTTGATGTCTAAGGGTTTGAGCTGTTTCCAAAATGGATCTGAAGTTCCTTCCCGAAATCCTTTATCGTAGTATTTTCGTCCTTCTCTACCAGGAATACAGCAATGCATTTTGCGGTATTGGTTTGGAATCCAACAAGTCCTTACCGGTTTCCTGTTCGTCGCCATGGTATATGCGCGGCATCCTGGGTGACTTTTTCTCTTATTTTATATATATTTTGCACTTTTATTTTGCACTTTTTATATTTTGAGGATGACCGAATCAGGTGAGTTGGTGTGTTCGTAGGTTTTATTTCATAGCATTAATTCATGTTTTGGAAAGGTTGACTTTCTTGAAGTAAGTCCCGTCACGGCCAGGCTGGGGAACTGGGTACGCAAATGCTCTCATTAAATATGTGCCGATACAGTGTGCTATATGTCCTCCTTTACACCATTACTCATTGTGGTGATCCTTATGCAACGAAGCTTATACGTAGCATACATATGAACTTACCTCCATTGTCTGAAAAAGAAATCACGATTACAAAAACATTCAGATAAATAGTGATAATGAAAACACTTAGTTTCAGTATAATGTACTTTCCATCTAAGTCGGGCAAATGATGAGAACAGTAGATTATGGTATTGCATATAATCGGTTTTAACTGTATTTTTGCATATATATAGATACATAACGTAGTAATATTTAAGTAAAATTTTGTTTTATAGTACTTGCTGTATTTGCCAGTTGATGGTCGAACTCGTCGTGTATATACTTGTATGTAGCTATACCATAGCACCTCAACGTGTTCAACAACAAGAACAACATATCAGCAAAATCGATTAATGTGCACATTTTTCAAATTTAGTAAGCATTCAACATTCAAATGTTCCTCTTCTGATATAAAAAGTAAATGCTATGTTACGAGAAGACCGCTCATATTTGCAAAGGCCCCTTAAATTCCAAATTAAAAGGGACATAGGTTTACTCAATTGTCAGTTGAACCACTACCTGCTACACGAGTAACAGTTGTCGATATAAGGAACTAAGATGATGAAAAGGTTATAAAATGGTGCCTGTTACATGAGGTTTACATTTGTTTCTTTAATATTATAGAAAACATGTAATGAAAAGTGTGACAAATATCTGGCAAATACAAATTGAACAAATTATGCCACATTGAAACGTTAGTGATGTCAGTATGACATAATAAATGTGCACTCTCATGAAGGATATCATAATTTTGCCTCATTATTGACTAAATTACATTTTTTGGCTTCAGACGACTTTATTGGCTACATGATTGGATCATCATATTCTTCCTAGAATGTGTATTCCTATCGCATACATCTCTTTATAACAAAGTTGTTTTGGTTGATGGGTGTAACCATTTTTTTCATAGTGAAATGTGCCTTAAACATTACATTCACACACAAAAAACACTTAAGATTTTAATTGTACACGTTATAAGTTGCCGATAATCAGTTTATAAGGTTAATACAGTTTGAACATCGAACAACTTCTGTCGCCTTTTTTTTTTAAATTACTTTGATAAACATTCATAATTCACACTTTATGCATGTTCATCCCGACCGCTAACCTTCATTCAACAGTTATTGCAATGTACGGCATTTCGATAACTGAGCAATACAAAAATAACATACAATAAATTCCAAAATCATTTAAAGTAAATAATATAGCCATGTGTAAATAAAGGCAACAGTAGTATACCGCTGTTCAATATTCATAGTTCGATTAAGCAAAAACAAATCCGGGTAACAAACTAAAACCGAGGGAAACACATCAACTATCACACATGTAAGAAGGATGCCTTGAACGCCGAAAGTATTCATATCATAATAAGACATTGAACAACAAATCTAGTAGGGTAGATTTTGTTGGACTGGATAAAGTATACAAATACGATTTGAAACAAGCTGTACTTTGTCAGTATTAATATTTTTTCTTGAAACACGAACTATAACAACAACCTCAAAAAACAGAGATGATACTTTTTGAAATTGTGAATATGAAATGCCATTCTATCAAAAATAACAAATTACTAATCATGTAGATCCCTTTAAATTTATTTGGAATTTTTATACTTTACAACAATATCCTTGTTCTGGTCTTAATATAAGTATTTGAGATGATTTTGAATTTTAAATAGAGAATATGATTTCAATACACCAAGCGTCATATTTTTTTATTAATTCAAGAAAACATTTACTGTAGCCTCCATGAGACACCAGGAGGTATTCGGTGATTTTACTAGATTTCGTCTGAACAATGTACATTTAAAGAACTACTGTTCACTCTAAATTATATATATGGTCCCCATTTTACTGTACCAGAAACGAATTTCGACAATTAACCTAGCAAGTAATATCAGACCAATTCGTGTTCCATGAGTGTAGACAGTTATGGCAGTTATTATCTAGCTTTTCATACGACTTTCGAAAAAAAAAATGCAGACTTCCTACTTTGTTCCGGTAAATTATTCTGTTTTTATAAAGACAAAGGAGTAGCCATTGGTTCTAGTACGTTGTGATTTATTTTGAGTATGATAAGTAAACTTCTTATGTTTAAATCACTATTTTGGTTGGAAACAAATTTAACAGAAAGTATGGAGTTTCTGTATTCGTCATTTTATAAAACAAAGTAAGTTGTGCCCTTCTATCTGAAAGTGTTTTTAAACCTCTGCTATGGAAGTTACTGTATATTCAGACATTTTTGCAATGTTTTTTACTATTGCCAAAAATGGGACCGTTTAGGTTTTGCATAATAAAAACTCCCTTTTTAAATTATTTGCATTCCCTGAAATCGCAATAATCTCACATTTGTTTTTATTGTTGAACAATCGCAATCATTGAAGATCAGTGTTATTCATTTTTTATATTATATGACTAGGTTGATGGGTTCGACTGGCCTATTTACTCTTGTTGCAAGAAACCATTGACATGCACAGTAAATGAATCCATAATATTGGCCAATACCACTGATCTATCAAAATGATCGTGTCTAGGGATGCGATATACACATCGGTGCATTTTAAAACAAACCATTTTATTTCGGACGTTGCAAAAAGGTTTTCTAGAAGCTTATAGGTTCAAAAATTCATCTACAAAATATGTTGTCTTTGTAGCCAATGGTGTACTCTGATGAAGTTATTTGTTTTACCTACAGATTCAATTAAAAACCAAATTGTGCGTTCGTTATGTATATATTTCACTTTTAAGTTGAAATATAAAGCAAAATATCTTGGAAAGTGAAACTATTTTTTTTAAATCTGCATATCTATCAGACAAAGACTGAGTTTTGATGTACAATGTTTACATTTTTTTTTTTCATTAGTTAAAACACTTGCTTGTTTAACGTTGATTTCGAGCATGTTTTTATTATTGATTAAATGTTGTAAGATGATATGCTTAATTTAGTATTCAAAAATATTGAATATACCTTTAATTCGCAGAACTGTGACTTCAACATCAGCTAAACCTGTATTTGTACCATGCAGACATTTCCATTTGCCATTGAGATTTTCGTCTATTGTTCCAGTTATCAAACAAGTAGTCTCATTTGTTGTAATGTTTTGTGCAATAGCCACATTAGTAATGTAACTATCACACTCTCGGCCGGGAATACATTCTCCAACAAGTTTATTAAACGGGTCTTTAAATTCAACCCGAAAAAGTAACCTATTGACTCTGCACTTTAAATTGAGTAATTGGTCATTAACTGTCCATGTAAGGCAAACGTGGAATTTACAAAAACTGCAATCCGTTCCTGTTAATAAGAAGTTATATTATTTCATTTAAATTTTACGCCAATGGAAACGAAGTATTTCGATAATTCTTATATATGTTATTGATATAGAATGGCGTCAATATTTATTTTTAACTACTTTTAACATTTACATCATTTTCAACTGGTTAAACAACTTTATTTACATGAATAATATAACAATAAAAGTGTCTATTACAACATGAGAGTAAAAAAAGAAAGTAATCAGGCAAAATACTCTCGTATTGCATTAAGGTGTATGTGAATTGTGAGTTCATATGTATGTATACACGTGAACCAGCCTTGTGTTAAAACCATAAATAATTCAAACATGCAGATCTGTTCGCCGAACACAAGTGCATTGACAGACGTCTCCTACACTAAGTATTTTGAAACGCTAAGAGATATTATTGCAGCATTCCACTTCCGTGTAGCAACATTCTAGCAGCGCCTGCATATGGCGAATATATCTCCTAGTTGATACAATATGCCAGAGCTTGTATTGCCTTAATACAAGACTGATTCTCAGAAGGAAGTTATTGCACCCAGGCTCCAAGTGATTAAATTAAAGACATCCTTCGAAAGTTGTACGGACGCATCATGAGTTTTTTTACCATTATAAAGTATCTGATCAGTTGACGATGGATTTGTTCCAGTTGTTATAACCACATTTTCCTCGAATTTGACTTCACCGAATTCGACTTATTACCGAATTTGTGCTGACACGATCATCAACACTTGTACCACATGTGGAGCAGGATTTGATTACCCTTCTGGTGGACCTGAGATCACTCCTGGTTTTGGAGGGATTCAGGTTGTTAGGTCGTTTAGGTTTGTAGACGGTTATTTGTCTTTTGGTCATGTTTCGTTTTTGGCATTTTTGACTTCTCGCCGTCAGTTTGCCTTCGACTTATCAGTTTGAATATCCTTTTGATCTCTTTCGCCTCTCTACAAAATTCTTTGCCATTAACATGATAATGGCATAATTAAGTCGTTTGGGAAGACTTATTGTTTTTGCTCAGTTCTTCTTCTTATTATTATTATTCTTCCCTCTTCCCTCTTCCTCTTCCGCCACTTTTTTAAATGAACTTGTCCGCACCCGTTCTCCAAAACCGCTTGTCAGATTAACTTAGGGTTCTACAATATGTAAGACTAACATGTCTAGTGGTGCAATCAGGGTTTTGTCTGTGCAATGGGGTTTGTAAAGGGGTACTTTGAGGGGCAAAAAGAAAGGAGGGTTTTACTATAGAACCCTATGGGATTTTATTTTAAAAACATTTCAAATGATTATAAATTGAAAACCGTTTGTGATAGACCCAATCTTTTTACTCGAAAATGTTCTAAATAATCAAGCACATTAAATGAAACAAAAGGTTAGTCCTCAGGGGTTATCCCCACCCCCTGCCATTTGAGAAAGTTTTAATATCTTCTAAGTGGTCAAGATCCCCACCCCTATACCCTATATATTGTGGTTTGTCATGATAAAGCACATCAAATGAAATACAGGGTTAGTCCCCAGGGGTCATTCCCACCCCCTGCCATTCAAGAAAGTTCTAATATCTTGTAAGTGGTCAAGATCCCCACCCCTAAACCATATATATTTTGTTTTGTCATGCAAAGATGGTTTGAATGATATACAGGGTTAGTCCCCAGTGGTCATCCCGACCCCCTGCCATTTGAGAAAGTTCTAATATCTTGTAAATGGTCAAGATCCCCACCCCTAAACTATATATATTCTGGTTTGTCATGATAAAGCACATCAAATGAAAAAAATGGTTAGTCCCCAGGGGTCACCTCCAGTCCCTGCCATTTGAGAAAGTTCTAATATATTGGAAATGGTTGAGATCCCCTACCCTGAACCATATATATTCCTGTTTGTCATGTCACAAAGATTCCAATGATATTAAATGGTCCAGATCCTAACCCCTAAACCATATATATTTCTATTCGTCATGTCAAGAAGATTTGAATGATATGTAGGGTCAGTCCCCAGAGATCACCCCCACCCCCTGCCATTTGAGAAAGTTCTAATATCCTGTAAATGGTTGAGATCCCCACCCCTAAACCATATATATTCCTCTTCGTCATGTAACAAAGATTCGAAAGATATATAGGGTCAGTCGCCAGAGGTCCCCCCACCCCCAATGAACTTATATCTTGTAAATGGTCGAGATCCCCACCCCTAAACCATATATAGTCCTATTCGTCATGTCAAGAAGATTTGAATGATATACATGGTCAGTCCCCAGGCATCACTAATGCATATAACTATACAGGACCAAACCAATTTTCACTGGATTTTGTGATTTCAAGTGACTCTGGGAATGACGAATTATGGGAGCTTCGTTTGGGTGACTTCGTAACAGCATCCCGTTACAATCATTTCTTGTTAAGCAATCAAATTCATAAAGCATCTTTAATTTAACTTTCAGATATATTGATGATGTCCTGTCAAACAATAACCGTATTTCAATGAGTGCTTCTGACTCATATTTACCATTGAAATTAATTTTTTGAAGATACTACCGAAAGTAGAAAGTCTGTTCATATCTTCATCTTTTCCTCGATAATGGTACAGGTGGACGACCACTTTCGAATCTATGACAAACTTTTGTTGAATTGCCAAAATTGCAAAACAAAATTGTCCTCATCCCATTTTTTAGCAGTAACATGACCTCTACACTGTGATTTGGTGTTTCTATATGTTCGTTTATCCGTAACACTCGTGAATGTTCACACTATGCGGACTTAAAGGAGGTGTGCTCCTACACAAAAACTGCTACAACAGAGTAACGAGGACGAAGGACGGAAATCGACACTACGAATTTGACTTTACCTTGTCAGCTCTTCAACGTTTGAATTAAGTTCTGGATTTTCAAGTATTGTGGCATCGAACAGAAATGAAGAGACAATATTTGTTGAAATGAGAATTTGGTGCAGTAAAATTGGTACCATTATCTTTATAAAATACATTTGGTTGACCGATTAGCTATCACGGTGTCTCTACTAACGACGTATTTTATTCGATCAGAGCTTTAAATACCAGTTTAGTCGTATGATCTACTATTTTATCGATGTTGTCCTATTTCTGATTGTGACAATTTGACAGTATCTGGATTTGCATAGCAGAAGTCGTTTATTCGGTAGACGGATCCGGTCTTGCTCCTTTTTACGTTCTTGTGATCCCCTCATATTTTGTTTGTTATCTTGCATTGATTTGTCTCTTCTTGATCCATGTAAAATTTTACTGTTGATCAATAAAACATGTTAAGCCCATCAAACTCAAAAAAAAGTTATTTCCGTTTTACATGTGGATCAGACACTTGTCTATTGTTGAAATCGTGTCCTGCCTTAGATGCTTATTGTTCAATTTGGTTGTTGGTTTGCAGTCGATCCTATAGTGTACAAACCCACGCCAAAGCAGATGGAGAATTAAAAAATGGGATGCAGTATCACGTTTTAAAGGCCTACTTGAGAAAAGATCATTTATGTGCAACGTTTTTGTCATTTCGTATCAATAATATTTTGTTAATTTTGCAGCTGACTATAAGGTTTGGGATTTACTCACATTTGAAGTCAAAACAGTAACTTGTAGTTAATAACATTAATGTCATTTGGTGGATAGCTGTCTCATTTGCAATCATACCACATCTTCTTTACTCTTTGTAGACTGCAGAGAAAGTTTCTGACCTTATCAAGGACTTACCAGATTATAGTTTAAAACAATATAATAAAAAACAAACCTGCTTTACTGACATAAGGGCGACAATAACTGAGTAATATCGTTTTTAACCTTTTCTGTTGAATGCTTAATAAAGTTGAAATCACCATGCTGACGTCTTTGACGCCCAATTCTAACAACATTGTTATTTAAAATAAAGATGGGAAAGTAATATTGATTGACACTGTGTAAAATTAAAAAGTAAATTGTTAACTTACCGTTTGTCAAAAAAACAATAAATAACCACATTGCCTGGTGTAAAACATTGTTGCTGAAAGAATAAAAATATATATCCACCACAAATTATCAGCTAATTCACTCTTACTTTAAGCTTTACTCTAATATAAGTATGACTCAATGATACATACATGATTTAGAGCTTGGAAAAAGTAAAATAACAACAATACGGAACACCACGGAAAATTCAAAACGGAAAGTCATTAATCAAATGGCAAAATCAAAAGCGCAAAACCATCAAACGAATGGTAAACATTGTAATATACCTTACTTGGTACAGGCATTCCTTTTCCATCAGATGCATAATATTTTAAAGACGTGTCATGTTATATTTGTATTTCGCTACACCTCTAACTAATTAATTGTGAACTTATAAATTTTTATTTATTAATGCATCGTTGAACACGATAGCAGGGTTATTTAAACTCACTTTAATACAAAACTTCTAATCAAGAAAAGGTTTTGATATTGAAAAGACATCAACACAATAGTTTAAGTTAGAGACACAAGATAAACGTTCATTCATGAAAAACAAACCATTCGCCCTTCGTGCTCATGGTTTCTTTTTCAGGAATCAACGAGTATCCATTGTACGTATAATACTCCTTTAACGCGAATAAATATTAGCATTTTTTGTTGTTTTGGAATAAATGACCTTCAATTAGATTGAAACATGTATCTTAACCATGTTAACCAAATAAATTGTATAAACCGAAGCTGTTGGCTGCGATAAGTATAATATTTTCTAAAGGCAATAAATCTTTGTCAACGTAATTATTTTTTTAATTGATCGTATGTTTCGCCATATCATGCGAAAATAAAACAAAAGTAGATGTGGTATAATGACCAATGAGACAACTCTCCACCAGAGACCAAATGACATAGAAATTAACAACTATAGGTAACCGTACGGCCTTCAACAATGAGCAAAATCCATACTGCAAGTCAGCTATAAAAGGCCCAGAAGTGACAAATGGAAAACAATTCAAACGAGAAAAACTAATGGCCTAATTTATGTAAAAAAAAAAACAATGAACGAAATATAAATGTGATATACAGCAACAAACAGTAACCACTGAATTGCAGGCTCCTGACTTGGGACAGCACATACATAATGTGGTTGGTTAAACATGTAAGCGGACACCCAACTCTCCCCTAACCTGGTACAGTGGTGTAACAGTACAGCATATGAACAAACTGAAAAAATTAGTTGAAAGGGGTTTAACTCATCAGGATAACAGAAAAACATCTAACAAAAACACAGACGGACATGGCAGGGTATTTACATCCGTACAACAACAAAAGACACTAAGAACAGATCTGAGAGTACTCGCAGTTACTGACATCTATAGCTAGTTCAAAGCCAATAACAACTTATAAAAATAGCATGTATCTAAGACTAAAGTATCAATCAGCACGCATCCAACTTACAATGGATTTAGTGTGAAAACATTATTAACAGTCAGAGAAAAACATGACCTTCTGCATTGCCAAAATACAGGTATTTTTATAAATTATTAATTGATGCCACGAATTCCATGGAAAAAAAGGTAAAATAACAAAAATACCGAACTCCAAGGAAAATTCAAATCGGAAAATTCCTTATAAAATGGTAAAATCAAAAGCTCAAAAACATCAAACGAATGGAAAACAACTGTCATATTCCTAACTTGGTACATACATTTCCTTATGTAGAAAATGGTAGATTAAACCTGGTTTTATAGCTAGCTAATCCACTCACTTGTATGACAGTCGCATAAAATTCCATTATATTGACAACAATGTGTGAACAAACCAAACAGACATAATAGGTTAAAAATGTCAAAAATAGGGGTACAGCAGTCAACATTGTGTTATAATCTAAATCACTATAAAAACAAACAAACAAACAAAAACAAAATGGCATATAGACATAGCACATAAGCAAAAATGAAAGACAAGAATACAAAAAATGACCACAGCACAACAACACACTGGCGGGATGCATAAGTACCTTGAGTCACGCCAAAAGTATATATCCAAACATGGACTAAACAGAAAAGGTTAATAATTTACAAAGACAAATAAAAGAACACTATAACACGTAATTAAGATGATAAACAACGGCAGTACCTAGATTCTATACACAAGACCATCATGTTTTATTTGTGAAGTTGAAAGTTGATACGGAATATGTATCAACAAGGTCTTGGTATCTTCCGATGAAATATTTTAGAAAAAGGATGAGACGTTCTTTGACATCAACCTGGTTCATCAACTTTCTGCTCAGACACTGGGGACGTTTTATAAAGTCTGGGTAGCAGCTGCAAGTTCTTGAATACCGAATGAGTTGGGAAATGTATATCCCATATGCAGGTAAGGTTGGTATATTGATAATTTCAAAATTAAAATCGTCTCGTTTGTCATAGATTATGGCACTGAGATGACCGTTTATGTCAAAATGAGGCGGAGGAAACCGTGTCTGTTGTTTCTTTTATTTTTAGTTCTGGAGGATATATTAATGGAACCCAATCAGAAAAGTTTGGATTGTTAATGGAAAGAACATCATCAATATATCTGAATATAAAATTAAATGATCTGGCTTCTTTGATCTTCTTGTTCTTGACAAGTGTCTAAAGGAACTCCGACTCATATGAAAATAAGAAGAGGTTGGCTAGGAGTGGCGCACAGTTCGTTTCCATAGGAAAGCCGAGTTTCCCTCCCAATTCAACAAATATGTTGTCAATAAGAAACTCCAGCATACTGATCACTTGTTCCTCTGTGTAGCATGTTTTACCTTTTTGTTCACTATTTACAAAATATGCCGTATTGTATCCCAAAGTAATAAATTTATAGCGTATGCTACCATATTTATATTGAAAAACATTGTGAATTATTTCTTTTAGGAGATTTTTCAATTTCACATGGGGAATTGTGGTATACAGGGTTGAAAAATCAAAAGTTTTGATAGAAATCATTTCAGAGAAAGATCGAGATTTTAAATTATCCAGAAGTTCTTTAGAGTTTTTTAGAATCCACATATGGTTAATACCACTACGCGAGTAAACAGTTTCACAGTATTTCTGAAGACTCTCATTCGCTGCGGACTGAATTTTTGTCAATCTAATGGACAATTCCTTTGTAGAACATGCAAATGAGCCGGCAATGTACCGTTGTTTGTACGGAATTTTGTGAAGCTAAGATATCCAATACAAACAAGGTAAGTCCTTATACTTTTCTGTTCAGTGTAATGTTCATTGAAGGCACGAAGGACTGATGATTCGCCAAAATCTCATCTGTCAAATGATATATTTTTTTTTATGTGGGACTACATGCGTGCTCATTTATTCCTTATTCTTTTACAAGACACTCGTAGTAGTACGATTTACATACAAAAACAATATTATTTGAAGCTTTGTCCGCAGGAACAACAATATATTTATCGTGACGAGATGATAGACATTTCACAGCGTCTTTGTCTCTGAAAACGGACTTTGGTTGATCATTCACACAGTTTTTTAACTTATAAATTCGACGTTTTATCAGAGACCTGATTGTTTTGACCCATTCTGGCAAAGTGTCAAGTTCAACTTCTTATCGTTTATAGATATAAGAAGATGTGGTATGAGTGCCAATGAGACAACTCTCCATCCAAGTAAAAATTTATAAAAGTAAACCATTATAGGTCACAGTACGGTCTTCAACACGGAGCCTTGGCTCACACCGAACAGTAAGCTATAAAGGGCCCCAAAAAAGTACTAGTGTAAAACCATTCAAACGGGAAAACCAACGGTCTAATCTATATAAAAAACGAGAAACGAGAAACACTTATGAACCACATCAACAAACGACAACTACTGAACATCAGATTCCTTAGCCCATTCTCTGGCGTAGTCCTCAAATGAAAATGTAAGTTTTTCCATCAAAAATGGCATTTAAAGCATAAACGATAGCATAACACCTAGTTCAATACACAGGTTTCATTAAAAAATATATTTATTAAAGTTATTGGTCACATGACAAAGTAACGGTCAAGTGATTGTTTACTATAAACACGTGTTTGTGTTTATATCAAGCACATGGTTTGTGTTTATGTTAGATATGATTGGATGGCATATAACCGCAATGTGGCTTTTACGGGTATATACAGCTCATGAGATTCGTGAAAACCATGATTAAGTATTACTTAAGGGGTTCGTTTGAGAAAATAAAGTTATTCGAAGTTTGCTTATAGTTAACGTAGCAGCAGATCGTTATTGTGGTATGTCTGACTCCGAGAAACTTCTATATTCTGACCATGAATCTTTGCCTGGTCCTAGGGTAATTCGTTGCCTGATGTTAATTCTGCACATCATACTGGTAATAAAGACTTGGTGGATACATTCTCGCTGTTTAAAACTTACCTTGACGGGAAGATTGCTACTCTTCATTAAGACTTGACCGTTGGTAATGAGAACTTTGCAACCAAACTTAAGCAAGAAGTGTCAGTCAAACTTAAAGGTGTGGGAAACCAAATACAGTTCTAGTCAATTGTGACAATATGGCCGATCTTGTTAAGCTTCAGAAGCGTATTCCTGATGAAGATGCAGCATGTCTCAAATTGGTATCTGGTGCTATCATCAAAGTTAAGAAGCGCAATAAGCTCATCCGCATTGCAGACAAATCTCCCACAGTCATTAAATATATTGTAAGCTAGTAGAGTATAGTAGATTATATTTCTATTTTGATATGCACTTTTTCAGATATTTTTTCATGTGGAGTCTGTAAATCCTTACCTAAGCCATTCGATCAAGTTAAACCTTTACCAGCTTCAGATTTTTATGTTTCATTGTATTTAATACATATATCAAAGACATTTAACTCGTATGCTAAGGTTGAAGAAGCATATTATTCAATAAGCTAGGCTTCCAAATAGCTGGTTATTCTAATTGTGAAATTCCTAGTTGTGTATATCGGTTAAAGAAGGGGCTCATAGACAGATTGGGCATGTTATTGTAAATAAAAAAGAACCAATTACGCCAGATATTTTAAAGAAAATTGTTAATAAACATGGTA